CCAACATGAGGTGCAAACGTTTGAGATAATGACAGGTCTGATCAATGCATGCTAAAATAAATTTTTGTTTTCCAGGTAGTATTATGTAACATCTTGCTGTATGTATTCCCTGTGATGTTATTTATCCTTCATGGGGCCTGGGCTAAGATTATAATTTTGTTTTACTTTCTAGTATTGGCTTATGATATGATAGTGTCACTGGTCATGAAACTCATCCAGTATGGGTGTTCGGTATTGCAGTCACTCTGAACTTTGGGAGTCATCTGTTGGAAACTATTAATAATTACACCTTTTGTGTTCTCTTCTTGGAGAACCAACCTATGGGGGAACGATATCTTCCTACATTTTCCTTCCTTCCTTCCTTCCTTCTTTCCTTCCTCCCTTCCTTCCTCCCTCCCTCCCTTTTTCCCTCCAGGGGGATTACAGTAGTTTTAGAGAATATTGAAGATTTTTAATATCCTTTTTAATACCCTTGAAAACACACTGGTCATTTTGCTAGAACTCGGTATGTTGCTGAATATAGATCAGGTCTTTTTTACAACATTGAACTTTGTTTCACCTTACACTATGGCTTCAAAAAGTCCACCAAACCATAAGAAAAGATCATGATGGTACCATCACAGTACTTTCTATTCTTAAAGTTCCCAGTCTCTGTTCTAGCACCTTTTAACTTTCTTTGTTTTATTTGCTATGCTATCTCTGTAATCATCTCTGTCACAAACCTACTGAAAGAATTGAAAATTCAGTACCAACATTTAAAACAAGTCATCAGAACTGATGTTCACTGCATCTGTGTTCTTTTCTCTCCCTTAGCTCTTTTTCCCCATGCTTTGCCTGTGCTCTTGATTTAAATGATAAACCCTTGGGTCAGTTAATGGTCGATACCATTTATGCAGTATGATACAACATGAAACTCCTGTTATGCTGTCCTCTTTTCCATTAGCACTGCTAAAAAAAATATGATAAATAATAGAGGGAGAGAGGAATAGCTCCCCACAGATTATACAGAACAAGCCAAGGAGCAGTTCTCCACATCTCTCGTTTCTTTCTTCAATGAGACCGGGGCATAGTCATGACATTGAAAAGCAAGACTGGTAAAATGCTAATACTGCACTTAATGGTGTAATTCTCAAACCTGAATGGGATTTCAGGCCATCAGAGAGTCTAAGCTCCCAAAGTACACAGAAATGGCAGAGTGCTGTCACCAGTAATATCATAAAGCCTTATATGTAGAAATTGGATTCTGCTTCAATCAAACATACCTGAACAAAGAGAGTGCAAAACATAGCCACTTCATTTATTGATTTTGTTTTCACAATGGGGGAAATGCAATAGAATGTGTAGGTTTGTTGTGGCTTTGCTTTTTTAATTTTACTAGCCTCTGTTAAGAAGCACACTATTAGGAATTTTTTCTGTGGGGTTATGCTTTTAAAAGTATCCTCCAGACTTGCTTTGCTGTCTCTCCAGTGTTATTACCTCAATTCACTTTCAAAAATTGGACTGCAGTAATGGTAAAAATTATCAAGTAGAGAACATAATTGAAGTTAAATATTAAAACTGTCTACTTAAATAGGGTTCGGGGGGGGTTAGATATAGTGGCATGTTCTTCTTCTGCAGATTCTTTATTTAAATGCCAGTTTTGATGAATGTCTGTGACTTCAAAAGTCACAGCTAATATTATTGCACTAAAACCACTGCCTTAGCAGAGTAGAAACAAAATAAGCTTTTTTTTTTTTTACTTTAGTAAAACAGTATGCTGTAACAACACAGTTTAAACTGATATGTCTCAAGGTACTCTGAAGTAATAGAAGTTGTTGATCATTTCTTTCATTCTTTCAACCATTTTATAGGACTTCATGGAATTACAGAATGGATGAGGATGGCAGGGTTCTCTGGACACAGTCTAGTTCAGTGTCCCTGCTCAAAGCAGAATAAGCTAAAGTAGATTGTGAAGGACTTTTTACAGTTAGATTTTGAATATCTGCAAGGATGACAACTCCACAGTCTCCTGGGCAACCTACTCCAGTGTTCAAACAACCTCACAGTAAAAATTGTTTTCTTGTGTTCAGACAGAATTTCATTTATTTCAGTTTGTGATTGTGTCTTGTCTTGCCATTTGGCACTACTGCAGAGAGTTTAACTTCTCCTTCTTCATTCCCTTCTGATATGTGTTTATACACATTGATAAGATCCCACTGAACTTTTTTTCTCCAAGATAAACAGTCCCAGTCACTGTTAGTCATTCCTCACATGAGAGATGCTCCAGTCCATCACCTTTTTGTCACTGTGCTGAAGTTGCTCTAGTATGTCCGTGTCACTTGTACTGGAGAAAGCAGAGCTGTGCACACCCCTCCAGGTCTGTCTTACCAGGTATGAGCAGAGAGGAGGGACCAGCCTCTATCTGCAAGCAACACCCCTCCTGATTCAGACCCTCTTCTTTGCTCCAATGTCAACGCACTGGAATATGGTCAGTTTGTCTCACAGGAACTCCAGGTTCTTCTCTGCAGACCTGGTTGCTAACCAGCTAATCCCCACCATGCACTGACTGTTGAAGTGTCATTCCTCCCCAGTTTGCATTTCCCTTTGTTGAACTTCATGAAGTTTCTGTTGACCACTGCTGCAGCCTTTTGACACTCCTCTAAATGGCAATACGTCCATCTGATGTATTAACCCCTCCTTCCTGTTTTGTGTCATCTTCAAATTACTGAAGGTGAGCTCTTTCCTGTTTTCCAGGTCTTCAAAAATGAGTTAAAGGGTATTGGCCTCAGTATACACCCCTGAGGTGAACCAATAGTGATATCTTATGGACCTTGGGCTACTGACCAAAATACTTTCAGCAGTTTAAACAATTTTCAGTACACTGTAGTATGTGCTTATCTAACCCATTTTTCATCTGTTTGTACATGGGGATATTATGGGAAACAATTAAAATTTTAATAAAGTTGTAGTAAACAACACCCACTGCTCTCTCTTCATCTGCCAAGGTCATCATCCCATCATATAAAAAGTGCAAGTTTTGCTGAATTTCTGTGACTTCAAAAGCTAATATTATTTAATATCATATCCCCTCCATAAATCTATGATGACTACTCACAATGAACTTCTTATCATTTATGGATTTGGAAAAGATTTCCAGGATTCTTTATTTCATTTGCTTATAGTTCCCTACATACTCCTTCTTACAAGTCTTGAAGATAGGTGTGATCTTTACATTCTCCTACTCTTTAGGGACCTTTCCTGTGAGCATCCTGTAAGGCCTCTTGCACTGGTATTGTCCTCCACCAAGGGTAACTCTTCATTCTCTTCATTGCTCCAGACATTTCCTCTGATCTCATGGGTTCTAGATTCCTGAAGACTCCTCTTGCCAGTAAAAAATGAGGGTGAAGAAGGTGTCAAGTCAGACTTTACTGTGTTCTTTGTCGTGAGAGCCCCTTACCCATTTGAACATAGGGCCACACTTTCCCTAGTTTTCTATTTACTATTAATCTACTCGTTGAAGCTCACCTTGTTGCCTTTCAAATCCCTTTACAGATATAACTTCAGATGGGCTTTTGCTGTCCTAACCCTATTCCTGCACCCTCTGAGAGTGTACCTGCTTTCACTTTCTGCACGCTGCTTTCTTATATTTGCTTTTAGTAAGGAGTTAATCTATCAAGACTTCTCACCCACCTGTATTTAACTTCTGCATGTGGTGATGGACCACTGCTGTGCTGGGGGAAGATTGAAAATCAATCAACTTTTGCCCCCAAAAGCAATCAAAAAAGAGTGAACACAGGCGGATCTGCTCAAGAATTCTTCAGAAAATGACAAGAAAACTAATTCCTAAATAATAAATGATTTTATTTTTACTGTTCACAGTAATCTAGATTTAATTTATGAGCCTTGTATACAGTCTACTCCATATTCTTTGTCACTTTCTGAAGGTGTGTGTAAATTGTTTTTAAAGAACTGGCCTATGTTTCACCTTCAACTCCGGCTTTTACTCAGGTAGGATGAAAGGAGGCTTTGGAACTTTCTGAAGAAGGAATCTTCCTCTGTGTTGTCCCAAACTAGCAGGTGATCTTCATTTGTTAGCACAGATATGTGGATTTGGGTTAGCATGTTTTCAGGAATTCTGCCTTTTCCTCCATCACTGGTATTTAGAGGCAAGTACCCACTGGCTTAGATACTGTTCCTGACTACTTTTCTACTCCAGATTCTCCTAGTTTTAAGGAGTTTTCTCTTTCTTCAGAGAAGTGATTGGTCAAGACCAGTTCTTGTCTTAATAGTCATTTCAACCCTGTTTCCCTTATTCTGACTCAGAAATGCCACTTCTCTGTGTTATTAACAAATTCTAGTTTCTGGAGATCTTGACCTTTATCCAGCTGATTTATGCCTTGATCATATAACCTTCTGTCTTTCTCATGTTAAAGATCAAAGCTGTTTCAATTTGATCATACAATCCTGATGCATTGAAATCTGAAATCTTAGTTAATCTTCCTCTTTACACTGTAAGATACAAAAATACCACACAATTTTACATAATTATCCTGAGTATTTAATTTTGGTCATACATAACCTAGCTGATTCTGAGAATTTTATGGCAACAATTGAATAAAACTTTTCCATTGTCTTTCTAGGAGATATTTATAAAGCCTTTAATTTTTGTCTAGACTCCTCTATGTGTCTAAGATATTACTTTTCTGGGGAAAACTTCCTTGCTGCTATGGAAATAACAAACAAAGAAAAGCACCCTTTCCCATGTATTTTGAGTTCTGTAGTAGATATATTCTAGACATATTAGTGTCTTCTTTCCTCTATCTTGCTAAAATTTATTTCTGTGTTTGGTCGTGGAGACCCATGCACCAGCCAGTGACTGATCTGTCTGCACTGGATTGGATGAAAAAATTCCATCAGTATCTCAAAACAATCTATTCAGTTGACTTTCAAAGTATATTCCACTAATCTTTCACATTTCCTGCATTCATCTGACCTGGTGTATAATGAGAGATGGTATTGTAATTCCTGATCTTAGTCAGGTACATTCATAAAATCCTGGATATCCTTGATCTTCCATTTGAAGTCATTGATGATAATTTTGCATGATTGGAAACTGTTTTTAATGGTTATGCATCATGCTTCAGATGCACTGAACTATCACTTCAGAACTGGGCTAAGTACAATGTTGTTGCCTTTTCAGAAATACCTTCTCTTTGTGCAACTTTTAGAAAAACTGCTAATGATGGATGAAGACTGGACAACAGATAATCCACTTGTCTAACAAATTCTGAGATGTCATACTGTATGCTAATTACTGAAACACCTTGCAAAATTAGACAAGAACTTTACTGGCATTTTATTTCAGCTGTTTCTCAGTGTGTATTCTTTTTTTCTTACATACATAGGTATTACACTATCTCTCACCTCTGTACACATATTTTCCTGCTCCATATTAAAACTCATATGCAGTACTTGTGAAAAGGGGACAATCAGAATTTTGGGGATATTTAAGAGTAGTGCTCTGTCACTCTATAAATTTCAACAGGGACTGAAATAACAAGTTAATATTATCAAGGAAAACCCTGTTCAGTGTATCTTCTGCATGGACTGACCATTATCTGGTTGCAACCAGGTTGCCACCTGGTACTCTCCATGATATCTTAAAAAATTCTGAATTTCCCTGTCTTCATTATAAACATCTTGTAATATACCACCTGAATTCTTTGTTTGTTTATATACCTTTTCTCATTAAAGAGAAGACCATGCTACTGGTGTGAGTTTGCATTGCATCTGGTTACATGTTACATTTTTCTATTAAAGAAAGATACTGTAAAAAATGGTACTCAGCAAAGTTCTTATGGAATGCTACTATAATGTTAGTGAAATCTTTCCATGACCTTTTTCAGATAAGATTCTCTTTGGTTCAGAAGAAGATATTCATTTTGGAATTTGTATAAAAAAGGACTTACAGGTCTATGTATGAAAAGATGCAATTTTTAAAAAAGATAAATACTATTTTTTAATCCTGACAGTTTTATTGGATCAATAAGTACAACAGAACTGCATATTCAGCAAAAACATGTTGCCTGGATCATGAACTTCTTGGTCTTTGTCTTGTTTACCAGGTGATATTTATGGCTTTATACTCATTTATAATGTAGTCACTGATTAAGTGTTCATGTTTTGTTATCCTAAGACGTGGTTGAGTATATTTCAATAAAAATGTAAGAATATCTGTGTTTTCCAGGTTCATTTCAAGCATTCTGAGTGTGGTACCGTGAGAGATGCTGTTGTCTATGAGAGGCTGGGATTATCATCATCAAGTGCTGTATTTTGATTTCATCCAGTGGCTGAGAGATTTGTGGGGTAAAGAGAAAGTACTGGACTTTTAAAAGTATTAAACAGGTAAGTCTATTGAAATAGATTGGGGTGGTTTTTGACAGTTTTCAGGCTTCTTTCAATTGCAGGTTCTATTTAACTGCTTTCCCCCCCAAAAAAAAATAATCTGTATTTCACAACTGCAAATGACCATTGCAATTTCAGTTCTACACGGCTTCAATTTCAGTTCTATACAGCTCTTTATTTTGTGCAGTAAGCTGTTTTCTTTGCAGAAAACATGATTTTTACAGAAGGAAACTGACATTTCCTTACCTTGTGATAGCAAGAAGAATCTCTGTTATACCCAGTAGCATATAACTACTGTGAAAGCAAAAATGTAAATAATTAGGCTAATAGAGAAAATTAGTGTCTTCTATTGCAAGCTATTATATTCAAATACTGATTGCCTGCTTATTTCAAGGATTTTTTTGCCATAATATTTTGTTTTATTATTAGATATTGAGAATTTTCTTTCATCTCTAAGTAAGGTACATGTTTAAACAATCCATCTCGTTCCTTAGAGCAATTCGTAGAAACTAATTGACCTAATATAAAGCAATTTGGTATGGGTAGATTTAAACAAAGTCCAAAGAACAAAAGTCTGTCTTGTCTGACTTCGATGGATGTTTCACAAAAAACTGAGGAGAGCATGAACAGTTTATGTTTCTTTCTTTTTTTTTACTGTATGTTGCTGTAGTTTTTATCTTTTCAAGTCAAAATCTTAGAAACTATGCAGGAACATGATGCTCTAGTAAAAACTAAACTGCTGAATTGAGACTATTTCCTGAATTGAGTATCAATCAGATTATGGCTGATTAAGGTAAATCATATTCACGTTTTCATTTTTTGCTTGGTAAAGAATAAGGAGTGTTATTTAACAAAAATATTCAAAACTGTCTTGGAGTGTGTCTAGAGCAGCAGTAGATACTGAAGCACAAATTCCAGTCTTATGCCAATGTGAATTATACATTATAAATGTACAGTTTGGCTGAGGAAACAATAAATCAATGTTCTGGTGACACTGTACCTTGTTATCCGGACTGTGCAACTTCCAGACATGATCTCATGGGTAAAGTTCGTCCTAGACATAAGCACAGAAAAACCGTCTTCACGTTCATTTCTCCAGACTTCTGGGTTCAGAGTACACTCAAATAGATGCAGGTCACCTATATCTATATCTATATCTATATCTATATCTATATCTATATCTATA